GTCATTTATAGTACAGATGTATACATGAGTGGGCATTTGAAAGCTGTATACTCAAAAACCGTGTGCCTACGTTGCACAATCTTCCTTGGTTATTTCAGGTTAAGAATTTCATGTTAAGACTTTGCAAACCAAATGGACATTGATGCCAATTAATGTGCATTGCACGAAATTTTCACGGAAATACTTTAGGAATACAAAACACTTTCGTAATAAGAAGTTTGGGAATTTCAAAAGGCAATAATAAAGTAAACCAGATGTAGAAAAAACCCCCATATTTTCTAAAATGGCATAACTATAACATAGACAGGTTGGGGCAGTGTAGGTCAGTAGTAATCGACTGCACACTGACTTTCTACTGACCCACCAGTGACATATTGATTACAAATGCAGCTGAATTTTGACGTTAGGACACAGGCATACACGCAAACACACACACACACACATACACACACACACACACACACATATATATATATATATATATATATATATATATATATATATATATATATATATATATATATATATATACAAACAGGCGCATTCCTACAACTCATATAATCCTAATGCCACCTTGCAGACTCTACACACGTGTTTCTGAGGTAACATACAATGTGTAAATGTAAACGTTGATTATGGGTTTGTAAATGTGAGTGTACGTATGTATCACACACACCAGACGATGATAACATATACTCAGTTCAGTGTTGTAAGTGTGAGTGTACGCACTCAGTTTAGTGTTGTAAGTGTGAGTGTACGTACTCAGTTTAGTGTTGTAAATGTGAGTGTACGTGTGTATCACACATACCAGACGATGATAGCATATACTAAGTTCAGTGTTGTAAGTGAGAGTATACATACTCAGTTCAGTGTTGTAAATGTGAATGTACGTATGTATCACACATACCAGAAGTTGATAACATAGACTCAGTTCAGTGTTGTAAATGTGAATGTACGTATGTATCACACATACCAGAAGATGATAACATATACTCAGTTCAGTGTTGTAAATGTGAATGTACGTATGTATCACACATACCAGAAGTTGATAACATAGACTCAGTTCAGTGTTGTAAATGTGAATGTACGTATGTATCACACATACCAGAAGTTGATAACATAGACTCAGTTCAGTGTTGTAAATGTGAATGTACGTATGTATCACACATACCAGAAGATGATAACATATACTCAGTGGTTTTAACTAAGTAAATAAGTAAAGGTCCTTTATCCGCCCATTAAGCACTGAACATATTTGGCCAAACTCATATTTTAAAAAGATGGGTGATGTGTTTAAAATCACGCAGGCCGCATTCACTTCTCTGGACTTTACCTTAAACATATTTAGGAAGGGTCTATACGGGATCCAACGTCACATGTGAATCTGGCGCCATGTAGATTTAAACTAATGATTTTCAGATCAGTAGGCGAGAGTCTGGCTGTTCTTTACTGGCTGCATATAATAACTGTTTAAACATCTAGTCGTTCTATGCCGAATATATTCGTTCTGAAGATGGAACATGCTGTATGTGTATGCCATCTAACGTATTATCTGTCGTATGCTGGTTTGTGTAGGTCTGATGTACTGGCTATGTAGGTGTTATAAATACATTCTGATATTTGCTAATACATGGGTTATAACTATGCGTATCTTAAACAGCTTCTACCACATAGTCTAAATACCCTGTGTACCATGTATTGATTGCGTCATTGACTGTTTGTCAAGTATTTGTTGTGCCATACACTGATTGTTTGGTATATCTGGTCTAATATTTTTTTTCTTTGTATCGTACACCCGTTTTTTTTTTTTCAGTTCCTAATTGTCAATGTAATTTACTAACCAATAACATTTATAACTAGCCCAGTATCAATGAGTGTGGTCAATGTCGGACGCTAGTTGTAATCTCGGCACCTCACAAAATCAACAGACTGAATGAACATGTTTTTCCACAATAAATGCGTTATTACAAATGACCAGAACAGTTGTCGACAATCTACGACACGCTTGTCCAGCCGCCTGACGCAGTGCGCCACTAACAGAGTCATATTGTAAGAAGCTCATGCACCTTCCCCCCCCCCCCCCCCCCCCCACCCCCTCAACTCATCTTTCAAACTGTACTCTCTAGCACCGTTTCTCGTGGTTTATTTCCCAGTCTTTATTTTGCTGTGCCTCAGCTGTGGGTTCCAGTACAAACACATTATAGATTTATTGTTCTAATGATTTATGAGTGTGTGTCCTATCCAACACCAGCGTCTTTTCACCACCTCTTGGTCCACTGGATCTCTCCCAGTACTCAGCATTAGTGATTATGCCATGCCGTTTCACTCCCTTTTCTGTGTGCAAGGGCCAGTTAATTAATGCTTGTCGTTTAATAGTAAATTATTTTAGTTCTTTTCCATGTTTTCGTTCTATGCAAAAGTAATGATTTGACGTCAGAATTAAGTTTTAACTTTAGTTTTAATTCATTTTGACTCGTTAAACCACAATATACGGTCCAATTAAACAAAACAAAATCCAGGTTGTGGGACGAGGAAATAACTATTTGTGCAAAAGTCAGTCTATATATATGTATACACACACACACACACACACACACACACACACATATATATATATATATATATATATATATATATATATATATATATATATATATATAAGCTGGCCCCCTCAAGTATTGTAGTCTGTAGAATTAACATCTCAAGAATGACCCCAAAAAAAAAAAAAAAAAAAGAGATACAAATCCCAGAAACTCCATGGAACCATTCAGCCGTATGACACATGTACAAACAGCTACTAAGAAATTAGTTAGTTAGTCGTTACGGTTCCGGCATTACAGCAAACGCGCATGGTGCCTAATTGCTCAACCGCCTATACCAGTGATTCCAGTCACAAACTGAGTCGGATACACTGGATACTGCAAGTGGATGCCGTAGTTATACAGTGTCCCCAGTCAGCAAAACACACACGATTGGATCTGGCAAACCTTAAGGTGAATGTCTCCTTAAACACACTGCGAGACGCGGCGTCATCGCTGAAAATCAACTTCATTCGACGAATAGCTGGGCGAGTAGATTAAAACTTCCTGACCATTCTCCACATGTCCTCGGCCAAGTTGCAGCCACGGTCAGCACATAAATAGCAGCTATAGCACACGCCTTGTCCCAGGAGCACAACGAAGAAAAATATATCACCCATCATTGCCATTATGTACGAATCTGGAACTCAGTCATTAATCGATAATCACAGCTCATAGTGCGGCCAGAAGCACTAAAAACAGTAGCTCTGACTTCCACAATCTTGCAACATCGAAACTGGAGAAACAACAGCGACGAGAACGGTCAACATAAGCCAAGTTCTCAACTGTTATCCATTCCCTATCAATGTCGCAAACGGAAGTCTAGCTACGAAAAAACATGTAGTTCAGTGTGGCTGTGGTCATGTCTGTAACAGATGGAATCAATCTATCAGTTTGTCCCGTACAGGCTGTTACCTAAAGGTTGACCATATCATCCCAAGACTGAGGAATGATGATCTAAATCTGTACAACATTCATAATAGCTGCACCAGCCAGGCTGAAACTTGCGATTGTGTAATCCTGTGTAGTATGATGTTAGTTTGAAATTTTTCTTCTTCCTCTTTTGTTGTTTCACGGAAACTATGTTGTAGCCAAGTGTCGTGGTCTTCTTGTCTCACTTGTAGCTTCTAGCCCAGGGTCTTGGTTTTGATATCTCACTCACACTAGGTAGTAGCCCAGTGTCGTGGTTTTCTTGTCTCACTGGTACCAGGTGTAGCCCAGTGTCGTGGTTTTCTTGTCTCACTGGTACCAGGTGTAGCCCAGTGTCGTGGTTTTGTTTTCTCACTCACACCAGGGTGTAGCCCAGTGTCGTGGGTTTGTTTTCTCACTCACACCAGGTTGTAGCCCAGTGTCGTGGTTTTGTTATCTCACTCACACCAGGTTGTAGCCCAGTCTCCAGACTGTAGCCCAGTCTCGTGGTTTTGTTGTCTTAATGATACAAATGCTCTTGTATTGTAATAATTTATAAATACAAGATACTGGCATGTTTTATACATTTTGCTATATCACTCCGAACCAACGCGTCTAAAATGTTGCCGACGGCTGCATCTGAACACATTCTGCTCTAGGTCCTTCTGACATAAACACTGCATTCACAATTTTTCAAGCGTGCACTCTTGTAAATATGTTTGCTTGTTTTTCTAGATCGTCTAAACATGTCCTCCTATTACTGATCAGTGTCGAAGAGCTTCAGTATTGAAATTGTGTGCAAATTACTTCCAAACACTATTTAGATTTATACGGACTTGTACTTTGCGTTGTGTCGTTATAAATGCTGGTAACACTTTACTGTGGACTATTGAATTAAAAAATATTTTTATATCACCTTAATATCAACAATATAGGTACAAACACAATCTAAACTGTATACTTTAGGATTCAAACTCAAGTGTTCTTTCAGTTAAATGCCATCAGAGGATTGTTCCGTATTGGCTGATACTGGGACATTGTTCTTTCTCAAATCATTTTACTAAACAGGTTCTCATATTCAGAACTTCATTGCATGCAGAAGATAAAACACATCGCAGTGGTCAGTTGACTTGCGGAGAACTCTATGTCCAGACTGTTCTGACCCCAGCAGTCAGAAGCAGATCTCGTTCATAGCACGATGAGAACCTGAAAAAGAACGTTTATCCGCGAGGAGTTAGTCTCGCAAATCCACATAAATCAGAAATTCGAGTGATCAGCACTGGATATAGTTCGCAAACCAATGCGCATGTTTACCGTGGATATAGTATTGTCAATTCCTGACCTTTAAACTTTAAGTTATCAAACAATGAATCTGCCAGAAAACATACTTAACCATTTCCTAATGTTTCAGTGAATTAGTTCAGGACATGTACATATTGTCCAAGCACTTCACCACAGTAAGTATGTTAGGTATTCCCAAAGTGTCAATGTCGGCGCGCAGTGTGTAGATAATCAACGTTTCTCGCATCTAAAAATTCGACGAAGTTCAGTCTTAAAATTCTGGTTCAGAAAAGCATAGATTAAGGGATTGACTACGTTGTAGACATAGTGTGTATAGAAGACGACAACGTGCATTTGGACGATCTTCAGTGCCATTAGCCATGATGGCAAGAAAGCCAGAATGAATACTAATGTGACGATAAAAAGTGTGAACGCAGTTTTGACGTTGGCGACCCTCATCCGCTCAATCCTTGCTTTAGAGAGGGAGCACTTGCGCACGGCTCCGTTGTTTTGCTGTTCAGGGTCTTCTGCGGTGGAGTTTTGTCTGATGGTGACTCGTTCATCCCCGTTGACGTGACTGAGCTCTATGTCTTGTGTCATCTCCGCAGCTTCCTGCTGTGTGTCCAGGCTGGTGGCATTCCACAGCAGACAGCACTGTGCTGACTTGATTCGAAGTTTCTTGCGTCGCTGAGCAATCACAGATCTAGCAGAGACAAGAGGTATCAGTGAGTGTTCATGAGAGGATTAAACATATATGAACAGTTGCTGATAATCACACAAATTCCATGTTTGGAAAAAGGTCATAATTACATTTTACAAATCAAAAACTGGAAATGCTTATGTAAGCGTTACAAAGCATACAATTCTTTCCATGAACCTCAATTCGACAGAGCTCTTTAAGCCATACTTAAAGAAAAAATGTCCTGGTCAAATACAAAATCAACAAAACTAACAAGTAACTACGTTAGTCAGTGGTGATCATGACTGATGCTGATACAGCCGCCTAGCTGTAAAACCCAACATAACATGTACATTTTTTTTTTAAAGACAAGAAATATATAATGATGCTATTATTATTTTGATTCCGGAATGCCACATTGCTTGAAATAACTACTTTGAAATCGCCGGGTGCACGCACTTTTCGTTTGGTTGAATAATTAACTGCACCCGCAACTTTTGTAGCATTTTTTGGCTTATCTTTAGCATTGTTTGAAATATTTGAATGCGGTCCTTTTACTTGGGAAGCCACAGTAGCCAAGTGTTTAGGCGATTGGCTGCGGGTCTAAAAAATGAGGGTGGAATCCGCATCAGGACATACGTCGCTAATTAATCCATTTGCCTCACGTTGATTCAACCTGAAACTAGAGCTAAGAAATGCCTTGTGTTTAAATGTGGTCAGTGTGATGTGTGTACTATCACCCACTAAATTCCAGTTAGTCCATATATATATATATATATATATATATATATATATATATATAGCGACACATACACAATGATTGAATAGCGTCGGTTAACTCTTGCAGCTAACTGTTAACTTGTAAACTTTATCAAGTTATTTTAAGTGGTGACGTAAATAGTGGTGACTGCAAGAGAATGGGTGAAAGAATATACAGGCCTATCTACCACCTCCTGAAATATTAGACTGTCCCATGACCTGTGGATTTTCCCTGTTTCGGGTAGGATATAAATAAAGCACCCAGCTGCCTTGCACAAGTAGATCAGTGGTGGCAAAACAATATAAACTGCCATCACTTTTAAGGGAGTACAATGTATTCTTAACTGTAGTACTATTGGAGATGGTAAGATCACCACTCCCGGCTAAATAGAAATTGTAGTTGCGACGTTGACTTTCATTTTCTGTAATGTACATGTCTTTGTTGCCAAACGACCACAATGTCGCCTTATCTGCTGATTGTAAATATGTCTGGTTGTTTCCCTTGATAGTCTGAACATGTCCATCACGTTAATAATGAGTGTCGTAGAATCATAGTATCGTTTTTTAGTATTATTTTCAAACACTCGATTTTTACCAATATGGGCAGACCGGCTCTCTAGGGTAGTTGGCTAAACCGGATTGCGCGGTGACCGGGTGACGAGCTCCTTGTGGTCCGGGTTCACTCCCGGGGATAGGCGGAAAAGCTTTATTTTTTCCAAGATTTACAATGGAATCAAGGCCGAAAGGTTGCGATATCCATCATACCGAGCCTAAGGGTTAACAACTCATGGCTTCTGGATACTAAAACAAACAACAAACAACCAATATGGGCTTGTACATTGTGCTATGTTATTTTAAATTCTTTTATATCCTTTCTGTTTCTAAGCGATAAGAAATAATTTTACTCACGAGAGGAGAGGTTGAATTTGAAAATTCGCTGTTGTTTCCTGAACGTCCTAAAGTGTGTTTCTAATGTATAAATCTATATGCGTACATATATATATATATACATACATACATACATACACACACACACACACACACACACACACACACACACACATATATATATATATATATATATATATATATATATATATATATATATGTGTGTGTGTGTATATCAATCAAGTAGATTCGATTGGTCGATGGACAAAATCAACACTGATGTGCGCTTGTTGTTGTTGTTGTGTTCAACTGTGGGTTTAGTACATGCATGCTTTTGGCATAGTGGGAAAATGATATAGAAGAAGATGCACATCTTGGAGGAGTGAATAATGGTCGTAGTGGTGTCGCGATGAGTAGAATATGTACCCCAGTTACGCAGGTCTTTTGTTGGTTTTCTTGAGCACAAGATAGGATATGCATGCGCAGGAAAGTTCGCTGAAGTGTACAGGAGGTACATAGATGATGGCGTTGGTTTCACCGAGATATTCAGAGAATAAATCAACCAACTCAGTAATTTTATCAGCAACGTAAACCTCTGTCTATCTATCTTTAACGTTGACCACTTTCAGCTAGGTCAGATTGCATTGCTGCTCTCTTTCCTGTCTTCTATATTTGTGGTGACGCTTCTGGTCTTCTTCTCATCTGGTTTTTGATTGTGCTTTCAGTGTTTTTCGCTTGAACGGCGTCAGTATTTTCTTGTCTGGTAATTGACATGGCTGTTTCTGGGTCTCGGCTCCCTGAGGTTTGGGTGACTGTATTTGCTGTCTTCTTGCTGCTTCTTTTTGTGCTTTCTCTCTTTCCTCCATAACTCTGTTGGTTGCTTGTAGTTCCTTGCTTAGTTTGTTGTTTTCTTCGTATGCTCTCCGCAACTTTTCCTCTGTTTCAGCAAGGCTTTTTTAATCATTTTGACTTCTTTTGCGAGAAGCTATTGGGTCTCCCGCATATCATTTAGACTTGTCTCGTCTTTCTTCGCTTTTGTTGGCTGTTTCTTCTGTGCCTGGATAACAGTAAGTGCAGCCATTATGTCCTCCTTAAATTTCGTTATGTCTGTTTCCATCCGCTTCTGTGTTTCAACAGTCGCCAGCGCAATAGCTCTCAGGCCTGTTACTTCATCTCTGTCATTTTGTTGGGATTTGGATGCTTCTTTCTCGTCTCTGAGAGCTTGGATGTCACTTTTGAGTCGAGCTATCCCGTTGTTCAGTTTAGTGGTGATAGCTGTCGTTATGGCTTTGGTTGCCTCATGCCTTCTGCAGGCCTTTTGATATGGAATCTTTTCCCGTATGGCCGTGGTTGCTATGTCTCGGCACTGTTGCAGATAGGAGCACCCCAGGTATCTGGCGCTGTGCTGGCCGTAGCAGTCTGCGCACTTCCTGCTCGGATTTGGAGATCTAAAATCTTTGTCCAGCTTTGCCAGAGGGCAAATGGATGTGGTTCTGAACAGTGTCTGCATACTTCTTGTTTGCTCACACAAGTGGCTCTGGAGTGCCAGGCTTTTTTGGGAGCGAAAGCACTGGATCACCTGTGGTACGTACTGGTCTGGTCTTTGCATCCTTTGATTTATGTAGACTTTGTCCGGGATTTCTTCTCCTTCTGATGTTATCACTGCTACTGGTAGTGGATATATAGTTTTGAGCCCACACACTCTCTCTCTCTCTCTCTCTCTCTCTCTCTCTCTCTCTCTCTCTCTCTCTCTCTCTCTCTCTCTCTCTATCTCTCTCTCTCTCTTAGCTTTGTTGTTTTTAATGTTAAGGTTATCTTTCCTTAGTTTTTCTAGTATTTCTTCGTTGTTCCAGTGCAGGCTGACTCTCCGAACCACCCATCGTCTTACATTCTGGAAGATTGTAGCCGTCGCAGTCATCTCAGACAGTCGTTCTTTCCTGCCGTTCTCTTGGATGTCATCCTGCATCACTGAGGTACGGTTGGTTCTATTTAGTGTCGCTATCACTCCCTCTCGCGTTCTTCTAATCTTTGTGACCGCATCTTTGCCCAACAGGATCTCCAGCATGTTGATCAACGTTAATGTTGCTAGTGTGGTGACTGCTGTCCGGCCAAGCTGGTCTGTCGGAGAAATATGGTGGCAGGAAATTCATGGCTGCCAGTCTTCCGTCTATCTATAGATGTGTCTGGTGTTAGCCATGCTGGTTCGGGTGACGGTGGAACGTCACTCAGGGCCTCACTAGTAGTCAGGTCGTCTTCCTTTGATCCGTCAGTAGCCGTCTCCGTATTCTTGGATTCGAGTTGGGTCGAGTGGATCGGTCAGTGGGCTGTTTCCTCTGTCCGTTGCGCTTTCCGTTGGGTTTATTTCTTCTAGACATGGTGATTGCGGAGAAGGTCTCTCGCTCTGATGTGTGCATTAATTGTGACGCTGCCTATCCTCATAGTTGATTTATTAAAAGGCTCCACCTTTGAATAGACACCAAGCCAGGAATCACCGATGACGCCGCAAGGATAGCTACAAACTCCAGCTCTCCTGTTGTTTCTACCACAGCCAGTGTAACCAACGACGGAACAAGTAAAGAAAACTGATATCCCAGAGTATCCATGGGTGGAAACATTGCCGTCATGTGTTTGAACTGGTAAGAGGTATTTGATTTCCACCACTTCCGTAAATTTCTTGGACTTCAAGGAGAGCATCGACTTTCCTTTCTTAAACATCTGTGACTTTTATAAACCTACTGATTCACATAGCTAACCTCACGTCCTCACTATACTTCTGCACACATTCTTTAAAATTCTCTGAGCTGCTTAGTCTGCGACTGCTTTGTTCTAATGACTTCGATTTCTTCAGTAAAGCACGCCAGTTTCTGGCTTTTTGTCTGTGCCCGCCCGCCTTTACCCTGAACTCATTCTCATGGAGGCTTCTTGAGAGAGAAAAAAAAAAACCATCACTATGAGAGGCATTGCCATCTAAACCTTCTACTGATAGACCTAAATTGACCGTAACATCTTTTTCTTCTGCCTTTCAAACCCCCAGTGGAGCATAGGCACTCAACCAACTCACGCAAAGCCATTCTATCCTTTACTATCGCATGCAGATCTCTCCATATCCTCCCAGTCTTTTTAACCTCGCTCTCTAGCTCCCTTCACCATGTTTTTTGGTCTTCCTTTATTTATACGCCCCTGTGGTTCCAGTGCAAATACATTCTAGTTATAATATTCTCCGATTTTCTCTACGTGTGTCCTATCCAACCCCATCGTCTTCACCTCTTGGTCCACTGGAACTGGTTTAGTTCTCTCCCTAAGCTCTACATTAGTTATTTTATCTTATCATTTAATTCCCTCTATTCTGCGCAGGCACCAGTTAATGAATGTTTGCTATTTATTATTAGTAATTTCCCTATTTGTTCTCAAAGTTTATGCTCCACAAAACAGTATTGATTTGACATTATAATAACAAATTGTTACTTTAGTATTAGTTTTAATTTCTTTTGACCTCCAGAAATGTCTAAGTGCTATGAAAGTTCATCTTGCCTTTTTCATTCGTATTTTAATATCGCTGTTCCCTATCTTTATCTACATTACTGCCCAAATAAATGTACGACTTTATGTCTTGAACTAGGGTACCATTAAGAGAAACCACATTATTATTTTCCTGATTTATTGTCATTATCTTTGTCTTTCTTTATGAATTTTTAGACCAAGCTGCTGTGATCTAGCATCAAGTATATTTAATTTATCTGCATATGATTCCGTAAATGGAACAGAAGAGGAGAAATATCATCAGCAAAGTCCAGATTATCGAGCTGTTTTGTAGGGGTTCAATTATTTCTATACCTGGTTTTAGTATTTTTTTTTCTTTCTTCATTATCCAGTTCATTGCCAGTAAAAATGGGAGAGGTGACAAAAGGTATCCTTGTCACATACCGGTTGCTTTTTATTTTTTATTTTTTTTATTTTTTTACTTTTTTAAATGTTTCTATTATCTAAAAGCTTTTCTTCATGAAGAACTTGACATTTCATGTATGTGTATGTTGCCTTTACTAAATAATTGTCCATGGGATTCGATAGTGCCCCATAAATCTTAACATAACACCCGAAAAATGTGGCTGTTTCTAGAATCTTAAATCGTCACCTAACATTCTTTGCTCTGATCCTGACACTCGCAAGATCTTCAGTGACTACCCTAGAGTAGTCGACAGGTGAGACCCTAACCTTCAGAATATACTTGTCAAAAGCAGATTTCCTCCGAGCCACATATCACTTCGTTTCGTTACTTCCAAATGCTCTGGACAAGATTAAAAAAAAATTATATTTGGAAACATACCCATTCAGTCTCTTTTTTTTTCATATTAGAAAAGCATTTATATATGAATCAAGTAGCACAACTTGTACCAATATCTGCAATATATATATATATATATATATATATATATATATATATATATATATATATATATATATATATATATATATATAAATCAATGTTTGTGTGTTTGTTTGCCCCTATAGACTCGGAAACTACTGAACCGATTCAGCTGAAATTTTCAGGATATGTTTGTTTTGATACAGGATGTTGAACCATCATGGTTTGAAATTCAACCTGTCATTGTTAGAGATAGGTGACCACAATTTAAGCCATAATATTCGAAACTAATATTTACAATTTTAGTGATTTCTAATTATAGCCACGTTAGTAATTGCAGCCAACACCGCCTATAATACATAGAGTAGGTCGTGGTACAGCAAACAAGACTATATCTATATCTGTGCAGGCAATGATTACCACAATAACTATATCAGACACGATTTCTATTTTCTGTCTTTTTTTTTTCAAACATCCTTCGATGAGTTGAAAAGTAGCCTATGGATTGGTAGGGAAAAAGAGGGAGGGGGGGCATCAGGGACTATCTCGACGTCTGCGCAGACATTGACTGCGACATTAACCGTGTTAGACACGTGCGATTTCTTTTGTTGTGCCGTTTTTATAAATATATTTGGAATATCTGTCTATGAGAAAACAATTGCCTGCAGTAGGGACACACATCTAAAATAGTTATGTTCTCTTTTCGTTATCTTGATCGAGTGGTTGCTTGGTCGAATGGTTAGAACACTTGGCTCTTGAGAAGGAGACCAGGGTTCGAATCCGCAGTAGATTTGTTTTTTTATTTAGGGCTAAAATAAAATCCTCACCTGCACTGTCGTGGCGACAGCACTAGTCATATGGCTCTTAATGATATATATTTAAAAAAAAAAAAAAAAAAAAGGACAGGTTGATAATTAAATTTGACCATTTCACATACTTATGATTTCATTTTAAACTTTTCGATTGCATGGTTACGCTGAAATTTCATAGCTTTCCATTTATTTTCATTTAGATTTAATTATTTCATCTGCTTTGGAATTTTAAGCTGTGCTGTTTACCATAGCGTTCATTTCCTAATTCTGGTGTATTTTCCCTGTTTTAATTGCTTTTCAATTGGTTTTTTTCCCCTCTCAACTACTTCGATGAGGGAAAGAGTAGTCGGTGAATTGGGGGGGGGGGGCAAACTGATTACTGAGAGTGCTTTAAGTCACTGTAACTGCTTTACCCACTCAAAGTAGCAGCAGCAGTAGTAGTTGTGGTTGGGCGGTTACACTGTAGTGCTCTCATGTGAAGACCGCCGGTAAGGTTATGGCATTCTTCTGTCGGGGAGCGAAATTATACATCCTAACCTGACCAGTCCATGGCGACAGCACTAGCCATGCGGCGCCAAATCTTCTGGCTCATGACTCCCTGTCTACTCCGATGGTAAAACAGATAGCAGTGACATTATTTTAGCTACTGTGGTGGTGGTTGTGGTAGTAGTTGTACTGGTACTTGAAGGATAAGGCGGTAAATATTACATAAGCCCTATTCACTACCTATTACGATTCCTGCTTCCAATTTAGTCCAGATGGACAGGGATATCAATGTCAGTTACAACAAAAAGAATATCGCCAGGTGATGATTTTTCAATCCTTCGAAGAGGGAGAGAGCAGTAGTCGGTGGAAGAGGGAAGGGGAGAGGGTAATGACTGAAATTTAAGAGAAGTTGAAGAGCTTTACACATGATTTTTAAGTTCTCATTACTTACTTAAATTGTTTACATTTTACTAACGCTACCTTCACTATTCTAATTTTTGTACGACCTACTTTGTTATTTACAAGTGCAGTAGTAGCTTTACTTACGTCTCCTATAAAAATACAAACAGCTTTAGCATGTGATAACCAAATAACCACTTTTGTTACAGTGCTAATAGCACCATTTAAACGACCACTAATATAAAGACACAAATATATGGTGCGTGTTCTAAAGTTGGAAAACCAGACTATCTATACATAAATGTGCAGAGAATGATTGCGACATTAACTATATTAGACAGGTGCGATTTCCATTGTCTTTCTTTTCCAAAAACCTTTGATGAGGGAGAGGGTAGTAGGTGGATTAAGTTGTGGGGGGGGGGGGGGGGGGGGGGGGGGGGGGGTGGGGGGGGGGGGGGGGGGGATCAAAGACTATCTCAATATCTGAGCAGATAATGATTGTTTTAGACACGTGCGATTTCTATTTTCTTTCATTTCCATTTAGCCAAACTATACCACAGCAACGCGTGGCCGGGTACAGCTAATATATATATATATATATATATATATATATATATATATATATATATATATATATATATATATATATATATATATATGAAAAAGGCATATAATGGGAAAACCGGTAGGAAACTACCAAATCGCTTCCACGAACATTTCGGGAATTTTTTGAATAATGCTGTTAAACCTGGCGCTCTCCGTTTTCACAGTTCTGAATACGAACTAGAAAGTCTCAGTCACTGCTATTAAATTTTGCTCTGATGATCAAATAAGATCAAACAGCCGCTATAAGCTTATAAAAGTCTTACATTCACAACTTCAGCGTTGTTAGTCCTGGACGAATCATTGTTTAACACATCTGGATTTAATTTAATTTATTAATCTATGTTTTTTGAAATTTATTTATATTTCTCCCCATCTTTTTACATACGCCTTCATGGTTATTTTGGTATTTTTTATAGCCTTCATATTCATATTTACACCCTTCTGATCCTCTCTAGTAACGTACTTCTTGGTTTCATGTTGAACTGTTATGTTTCTTGTCCATTGTTTCTCATTTACATTTCGTGATGTATTAAGTATTTTGTTCATGAAATCTTTGGTCCAGCGTTCGGTTGTATTTGTTTGCCTATTTTCCGTTTCATTCGTTGTGCTTTCTGATCACATTTTTTGTTTTATTTAGCACTTATTGTTGTTCTACATTTATTTGTTTATCAAGAGTTTTTTTTAAATTATCTCAGTTATGTTTACGACATTATAAATAATTACCTGAATGTAATAATAATAATTACTTCAATAAAAGATGGTAATAATATAGTTACCTGTAGATAAGACTATAGAGGACAAGGACGATGATGCAGCTAACGAGAAAGATGCCCGGGTAGATGTATCTGATGATGGAGAAGAAATTTGGGTCAATATAGTTCGGATTGATCTCGCAAGCCCCTATGTTGGTGGCCGTCACCGTCTTAACGGTCAAGTTCTGGGATGGAACGAACACCTCTTCTGATCGGTTCAGCGTTATCTGGCCCATATCTCGCGTGTAGCTGGGTCCCGGCGAGAAGGGGAAAGCCGTGTACGAGTGATCGAAAGGAAATGTCAGACCACCGCCTCCTAACGTGACGTCAGCAGTGGAGTTGAATGGGACGAATGTCAGGTGTGGGGAGGCCGTGGTGTTGAGCTGCATGTCTACCTCAGTGTAGATGGTGTAGTGCAGGCAGACGATGCCAGCAAACATGAAGATGAACAGCGCCAAGGCTCCGATGATGATACGTGCTCTTTGTATGGTCATCCAGTGGTGGAAGGGGTGACATATACACATGTACCTGCACGCAGATAGATATTATAAATCATTTTGCAACAATAATAAATTTACAACTATTTTTGTGCAACATGTAAAAAATAATAGTGTTGCACCAGTAATAACAAGTAGCTACAGGGGTGAGAGAGAGGTATAGAGGTCCTGCTGCATCAGTTGAAAAAAAAAAAACATCATGTGTCTAGAATTGATTAGATAAAGGCACAAGGTAACTAGGCATCAGTAGCAACATATACAACTACAAAGGAGATATACTGAACGGGAGTCGTATTATATCAGCCAAAAAAAAAAAAAAAAAAATAGTAATTATTGATTTAAAGTCAGTAGTATACAAGCCCTCCCTCCCCCTCCCTCCCCCCCCCCCCCCACCCTCTCAGACGATTCAACCGCAAACTGATTTTCAGGAAATACCCTGGAAATTAAAGACGGCCATAGCCTTGTTGACTACACTTGTCCAGTGCCAATTTGCCTATAGAAATATGGGTCTGGTATCATCAACACGAAGCTAATTAAAGTAGATCTCTACATACAACAATAAGAAAGAGACAATCACTGTTCTTTGGCCACATAATAAGAAGTGAGGCATTGGAGAAAATCGTGACTGAAAAGATCAGTGGTAAAAGCTGTATAGGCAGACCAAGACAGTTGATGCTGGATGGGCTGAAACGATGGCATGGAGGAATATCATCAAAAGAGCGGTTCCAGGCAACCAGGGATCGTGATCTGTACAGAGGAATGAGCGCCTATGCCATTTGGAAGGGCACATGATAATGATGATTGCATCAGCAAGATGCATCTTTTCTGTGAAAAGGGTCAAATATGTTTTGTTTTTTTCCTAAACGAATTCACATAATTAAAAGATAGAACGTAGCTGTCATATTTTGTAAGTAATAAAACATGTTACTAAAGGAATGAGAGTTAAACACAGCAGAGTCGTGTTCTAGAGTTACAACTCATGTAACTACACCTAGAAAAACTAGTTAATATTGCGCGGCAATACCAAGACATTATTCCAATGAAATGTGACTCAAATACTTAACGAAACGGAGGAAGGAAAATACCAAACACACAACAGGCAAATCGACGTTTCGGATGCTGTCTATCTAGACATCAACTACATAAAGACTGCGGCAGATACGGTGCTTTGTTTGTTGTGTGAACGTTGTTTGCCCTCCTCCTTTCGTTAATTATTTTAGTCACAGTTCACTGGATGTTTTGCATGGTAATAGCTTGACTGCAGACATCGCTGTTTTCACCACTCGACGAAACAGCAGTAACACATAACATACGCACGTCAGAGCCGTAGAGGTATAGAGGCTAGACGCTCGACTGCAGATTCGAAGGTCGAAGGTTCCTGTCCTGTTTGTTTTTTAACAACCATGGCTCCCAGCTGGACCCAGCCTATAAAGTCCAAGGTAGTGAAGGCGACCACTGTGATGTTGAACTCATCGTATGCCAATTGGTAGATAAAATATAGATCTAGCCCTATATGCCCTGTAGTCTGAAGTCGTGGAGAGGGGTCCCTTTTTGTTAAGACAAAATACTACATCAGCAAATACACATTAACTACACAAATTAGGAGACCATAAACAGTATGTGTTGAGTGCCGTCAAAATCACTTACACGAACAATACAAAATAACATCTATAGCATCGAGACTACTACTGGTAACTGCGTATCGTTTACAGGATGTCACAGAACCAAGCCTAGCAATCGGTTTGGCTGTTGGCTGTTTGCGATTTAACTAGGCAATTTTACATTCACTAGTTTGTATTTGTTCCCTACACGGTCGTCTCTCTGTACCAGTGTCGAAACCAATATACGAAGATCTGCTGCCAAATCTCTGGCAGCTGGGATCGAACTCAGCACCGCTCGCATTGCCCAAGCCACAGACTCCTCTACAAGTACAGCATGCCCTAAATGTAAGCTTTACCGTTGGTCGCTACCTGCTGTACTGCTGGGGCAGAAGACCTTCTGGCTTCTGTGGTCAAATCGTTTGTTTTCAGACAGCTTCTTTGTAATCTGGAGTAATCATTGTAGCAATTGTGTTCGTGTTGCGTTCGATAGGCGGTCAACGGCAATAAGAAGAGACTAATCAATGGGACACAACTACAACAAATAAGTATTCATGCGTGTAGTTAGTCCCCTTTAGTAATCTAAAAAGTAAACTACCCCTTTAATTTTTAACAGCATCTCGAAAGGAATATTGACGATGGTTGGCTATCAAAGACGATAAAACACAGAACATTGAAATATTTGTTGTATCTTTGAACGTCATGCAAGTTTAGCGAGAACAATAATGGAGGAGTATATGCCTGGGACGCGAGTCATCGTGGTTGTGATCGAGAAGCTTTCCGGAAGGTGGTTATGGGAGCAAGGTTCTGTAAAGGACATGCTACTGACTGACTAGTGTATTGAGTATTTAGGGCTATATTTGATAGACCAGTCGGCACTTGGTGTATGGTGGTCAGCATTACGCCATTACTGTACAGGACTTTACCGGGTACCCATATAAGGCTGTTGCAGTTGACTCTGTGGCTAAGTCGATGCCAACGCTTTGTAATGCCGGGATGCCGAGTTCGATCCCACCTGCGGGTCATGTGCCTTGCGTTGGTTTCGACAGTGGAATCAAGAAAGCCGACAGTCAAGAAAGCAATGGCAAACTACTGGACGTAAATTTGCCTAAAAAGCCCACACAACAGGGTTGGTTCTGCAACGTCCTGTAAAGGATACGCAACTAACAAACAAAAAAAACAAAAAAAAAACAAAAAACAATACTGTTGCAGTATTGGCTGTAATAAATCCGGTTCCTACAATTTGTTCCATGTCTTTGCCAAGCCCATTAGCGTCTAGGATATTATTTAAATTAAGTGCGTCCGATTGTTATTGTATTGTAACATTGCACACTCGACCAGTTTTTCTTTTCCTTTATTTCTTTCATCACAATCATGTCCAACAGACATTATTTCATACTTTTCTTGTCCAATCTTGAGATTAAAATCACCCAGAACTATAGTCATTTTTTTTCTCACTGTGCCAAGGCTATATGACTTTTTTTACGTTCCTTTTTTTTCGAAATAATTTGTACCTACATCTAGCTACTATTAAACATATTTAAAGCCATATAATCCCCATCAGTAACCTGTAGAGCTTTTAACTAATGAAATGAACTATGTTGTCTTTAAACAGACGGGCACTGCAATGGTACATAGATGTAGTAAGATATACCGGCTTCTAAAACATTATGCTACAATACTAAAAGGTTCGGTAGAGGCAAACACAAGAACCGGGCCGGTAAAGAACTAGAATTGTAATTCGGTTCTCGTGATGGGTGTGAAGTATATAAACATCAGGATCAATGCATCTTACAGAATTGGAGCAATCTCATCAGACAGTTAACAGCAACTGGTGATCCAACATTCCCGGTTTTATATACCTTTTTTATATGTGAGATCTCACCTGTCAATGGCGATGGCGACGATAACAACGCACGAGAAGGGGACTGTGGTAATGATCAGGAAGTGGTAGACTTTGCAGATGAGATCCACGCTGACCATAAACTGTATACACTCCATGGTGATAGTGAAGGGTATGGTAATCAGACAGGTGATGAAGTCGGTGCCAGCAAGCGTCAAGATGAAAATTGTAGAAGTCAACTGAAATAAACAGCATGCTGTGTTAGTGTGTAAATGCCCTTTCAATGCTAACTAAGTGAAGTACAGGTCCCTTTATATCACCTTTAGGCGTTTCGGGCTAGACCTATGTTTTATGTACCAATCAGCACTTGGTGAGTGATGTGACCTTTGACTTCCCCCAGGACACAGTACCCATTTAGGATTGGGTCGACCTTGGAGACAAGGTCATTTTAGAAAAATTGTGGCTCAGTCAGGATCTGAACTGGCGACCTTTGGATCCGTAGACGAGCATCTAGCCGCTACACCATAGTGGCTCTCTGATGCTAAGAAATAACAATTTTTTTTTCTCCATTTCTTTGATTTAGAAATATAAATTGTAGTAGAATCTGAGTATTATAAACACAAAACACAATTATTGTAGGTGAATTATGTAAAGATAACTAGCAAAATCGTGTTTGCATTAAATTATATGATAAAGTATGCATACAACATACACGGGATCAAATACGTCACTGTTGATATTGTGTCCAGTATTTTCAGTGTCCCAGTCCTTGAGAAAGAGAATAGAGGCTTTTCAGCTGAAATGCTATAGAAAGATTCTCAGAATATCTTGGAAGAAAAAGAGAGGAAATACTGACATCTTAAAAGTTCTGAACATCCAGGAACATTGGCTAATCTGAAATCTGTTGGTCATATCAAGCGCCACGACGGATTGGAAAAAAAATTATAGCAGAAGGCATGGTACCAGGAAGGAGGGGCAGGGGCCGACCAACACGAAAATGGGCACAGGATATAAGTGACTCCTTGAGTTTGAAAGTGCGTGAGGCGGGAGAGTTGGCGAGAGACCGAGTTTCTTTCATGCAGACTGTGATGTGAGCTTTGTTCTGCAAAGGACCTGCTACATGATGATGATGATGATGATGTCATGTATACCATCTAATACATTATTTTGCAGCTTTTTAGGGCATTGGTTATTGTTTCCAAAATAAATAAAAATAGCTCAGAGCAAAGAAAAGATGTTTTAATGATTTCATCAGCATGGCTTTCTCTGGCAATTGGTTTAAAAGATATCTCATCTGATCGCCAAGCTATTTCCTCTGTTTATTTTTCATTTTATGATCTACAGACTGGCATAGGTTTCATATATCTCCACAGATCTTGGTCCCTTGCCCTCTGAATCAGTTTCACAAATGATATTCCTCTGTCCTACCGTCGCAATCCATTCATTGTAGCCTATCTCGGTCTGCCTCTCCCATTTCTACCGTGGATCTTGCCTGACGTCACAGTATTTTCCATTGTATCATATGGTGTGAGAACAGGACTTGTCCTGTCCTTATAGCTGCATATATTAATCTTTTCTCTTTAGCGTTTTTCAACCAATCCCCGTTAGATACCCTGGCAAATCAAGAGAGTCTAAACATTCGTCTTAGGAATCAACATTTGCGTCGCCTCCAAATTCGTTTTAATTTTAATAAATTGTATAAGAACTTTCATTACATAGTCTACTGATTTCTTCAATTTGTTATTGTTTCACTTTTTATTACGCTGGCAGCTCTTTGAAGACATCTCATCTCTAGTGTCATGACCCTAAATTCATTAGCATTAGTAAGTGCCCGATTTGAACTTGTAGAATGAAATTGGTCAACAATAGTTCTTATTAGATTTGCCTTGAAAAGCAAAAGTGTGTATATGTGTGTGTGTGTGTGTGTGTGTGTATATATATATACACACACACACACTGAAGTGATACTTTATTCCCGGAAATGTAAATTCAGAGTCATCTAGTTACACTTCTAGCTGTATGATGTGGCCAACTGTAGTTTGGGAATAAGCAAAGTCAATGACGTTTCCTGCAATCACAAATGGAGCACACTATTCTAAATCTAAATTCTTTAGGTCAGTGAGCAGCTTTTTGTACTGAGGTAACATCGTACGGGTCGTATTTTCTTCCCTTGACATTTTGAAGCATCCATTTTAGTTTGCTCCACTAAGCAAACACGACTAATTTTTTTTTTAAATTACCAAGAATAAAAATGAACGCTTATTTGACCAATTTTACCTTGCACGCATATTTCCTAGTTTTTGTTCATGTTTCTATAGTTTTTTCCCTTTGTTTTCTGTTTTTTCCTTCCTTCTTGTACCTATTGTTTTAACTTTCCTATATTACCATGATGACCGATTGCCCCCTTTCTATTGCCGTTTTGTATTTTCCTGAATGACAGCCGTGTGCTAAATACGGAAATCGGCTAGGATGCAGAATTGATCCCAAAACCGCCAGGCTGTGCACAACTTGAGTGCAGAGAAAGATAGGTATGGTTTTCACATGGGACTTTGTACACGCAAAAATCAGGTCCGGGTGAAAGCCAAAATTCCAAGTGGACGATTAACCGTAACCTTCCGCCGGAGTTCACAGCCGGTGAACGAAAAAAAAAAAAAAAACATGGGACTAACCCTTACCTTCTGCTTGAGGTTTGCAAATACGTAAATGGCTAAAGCGTTGCCCACTGTGCCCACCACTGACAGCAATGACAGCATCACGATGATTATGATCTTCTCAGTGTGGGTGATTTTATCTGGGTGCGCCGGGTCCACGTCAATCAGAGACGACTTGGTGGTGACAGCAACTTCAGTAGTGGTTGTTGTGGCAGTGATGAGCTTGTCCATGCTGGCATTCATACTCTCATGGACCGCAGATGAGCTGTTTGACTGCACTTATTACCTGGCCACTGAAACAATTGAGAAACGTGAAATCATGGTTTATAATTGATTTCTCTTTCAACTGTTGCTTCATTCTATGCTAGAAAACACTCCTGACATCCATAGAGACACTCTGTCTTTAAAGTTCTTTATAATATATATGTTAGGGCAAACGAGGCTGGTTCAAGGGCATGGTTTACAATTCTCAAGCTACTAGAGTTTGGATTATTGCAGCGGCAAGTTCGGAGTAAAAGTCTGTTCGTGGCATTGAAACAGTGGTTCGAGAGTAGGCCCATAGAAGATACTGGAGCGTGTAATAGTCCAAAAGAGAAATGTGATTCAAGCTAGAAGATTTAGAGCTTTATTCGAAGAAAGAGTTGATGTGTTTTAAATAAGAATTGACTAGTGTGGCGTATAATCTAGTCTACTGTATGGCATATATACTTCGACAATGAAAAAGCAATAAGAGAGTCACAATGAGTCTTTAGGGATTTAGCTAGACTGAAGATAAAATGGTCTGTCCCGTAGGGGTGATTGCAGTCGTATTTTTTTTTTTTAATTAAAGAATGAAAACATAGTTGATGGAAAAAAAAAATTAAAGAAACATAAATTAAATATGTTAGTCATAGAATTGTTAGCATGGATGGATGGATATATTTAAAAAATAGACAAACACCAAATCCACTTATAGACAGTCAAGTTGACAGAAAAATACACACACACTCACACATATACACACACATATCAACATTTAATATAACGCAGAACAGAAACTGAATTGAATCCTCAAGTAAGGAAAAGTATTGGGGTCGGGATGGAGGCCCGCTGGATCTGTACCTGTCAAAAGTGCCCTCGCTCGCCTCTGGAACGAGGCAGTAGGTAATATGGAAGATACTTAAACCCTGCCCACCAGAAGAGTGTTGCAGCGGGGTGTGTGTGTAGGCTCTGTGCGCCGGTCGAGACTAGAGGGAAAGGGACAACGAGTAGTTAACTAGATGACAACCGGTACTCTCAGTATCGAGACTTTTTGCTGGCTGTCAAGGAGGCAGCAGAGCTAATATGGGCTTGTCCTGTATGCTATGATCTTAAATCCTGACCCAGATGATTAGAGATGCAGGTACTTGTGCGTCTGAGCACCATCTTACCAAACACGGGGCTGTTCCATGTTGTTCATTGGAGGCGGCGAAGAAGCCAGAGAGAGAAGAAGAAGGATAGGTAGATGCAATTCTCGCCTGGGTAGGCTACCTCTACCCGTCCTTCCTCGCCACCCTCCGGTCACTGGCTCTTGGAGATCGCTGGATTCACGGTGGACTCTTCCTCTCGGTTCCCGATCGCCTTGTCTCAGGTAACAAATTGGGCACGTTTAGCACAGAACAAGTATGATGAAAAGTTACAGAAGAAATGCACCACTAAAATGATCCAAGTTCAACAGATGAAGAATGACCGAACAAGCAAGCACAAACTCGTACACACACTTACATATACGTACACGCTCAGCGATAGGACAAAGGGGTGAGCGAAAGGTTTGAACAGTGAGAGGTGGGGAGAGAGAGAGAGAGAGAGAGAGAGAGAGAGAGAGAGAGAGAGAGAGAGAGAGAGAGAGAGTAAAGAAGACGAGACAGATAGAAAACTGGCGAGAGTGAGTATGCAACTGAAGACCTCGCTTGAAAATGAACAACCCTCAAACGTACCGAAAGTAAGGCTTCAGGATTTGTATTGACTAGTTTGATATTAGGTAACTGGTGACGAATATTGCACTAGCTTGATGTTTTCGTAACGATACAACATCTGGCCGTGACCTCACAGAATATATCTTGATATTCATTCTTGACTTCGCCAATCTGCAAACCCAGGATGATGGTGATGATGATGACGGGTTGGGAAAAGAAGCAGATACAGTTAAACTAGAATTTCTTGTCAAAAAACCAACATGCTCAAAGAAATAAAGATATACAAACATAAAAAAAAAACAAAAAAAAAACTGACACAATTATTAGTGAGCGAAACGGAACAGTTGAGAATTTTAAGGGGTAAGGTTCTTGATAACAAGAACAGCAACAACAACCAATAACAACAGATGACGACTTGACGTGGGTGCTCCACTAAGCAAACACGACTTTAAAAAAAAAATATATATATATATATATATATATATAAGGTTTAAAGAGTCCATGGCTGATGAATTTGGTTGCAGCTGTCCTGTATTCACGACTGGGATCATGGACCTCAGAACTATGCACTTTGGCCCCATGACTGCCACACCGATCCGCCATCTCGCCTGTGCTCTTTAACGTGTATATGAGCAAGATTGCAAGCCTAGAAGCACCAGGAGTTGGAAGGATACTGACTTTTGCGGATGATATACTTGCACATAGGCAGGGGAAAGAGAGGGAACAAACAGACCGGGAGCTACAAGCGACAGTAAAACACAGTGACTGAGTGGTGTACAGAAATGAGGGCTGTCGTCCACCAGGAAAAGGCGTCTGTTTTGTGGTGTTCTCTGGACAACAGAATCGCTAAAACTAATGTCCCAAGTCTCACGATAGATGGTAGGAACGTCAACAGAGAAAGCAAACTGAAGTATCTGGGAATTACATTTGACAGGAGCCTGTCATTTAAGGACCATGTGGAGAGTGTTGGACGAGATGCCAAAAAGGACTCAGTGCACTTAAGACTATGGCTGCAATTGACATAGAGCAGAGAATGCTTTTCACACTATATCAGCACCTGATCCTGTCAGTGGTTGATTATGGCCTGGGCTGCTTACCGTCTCAAAGAGTCAGATGAACAAACTAGAGCGCATACAGAACGCGGCTATGCGGGTCATTCTGGGTTGCACCAAAGACACCCCACTGGTGTGTATGCGATACATCCTTGGTTTGCCGACGATTGCAGGTAGGCACAAGGTGCTGCAGGCGAAGTCATATCTCAGGGTAGCTGCAGACACAGGCCACCCTTTGCTTGAAGCTCTGGGTGCAGTTAAGGGTCATCGGCTGATAACAGGGAGGTCATAGATGGCTCAGCCAAAACACACAGTCAGACAGGTGTGCATCCTTGAGACCATTAGGCGAGGAGAGGAGTGGGTTTAAGTAACACCTGAACAGTTAGACTTGTGTAAAGTCATAATCAAGCTGAACCGGGAATGCAGAGACTGGCCAGCAGTGCCACAGAGGTGAAAATTCAGCAGTTATCTCAAGATAATGCTCGCTAAGAGGATTTGATCATTTACACAGACGGTTCATCGCCAAGAGGCAAAAGAAGTGTATGGGGCTTCTTAGCAAAAGTTAATGGTCGACGTTTGGTGCAGGAAAGCCTAGCATATGATACCACAACATCCAGCTTAAGAATGGAAGTGGAGGCGGTAACTGCAGCTTTCCGCTGGCTAGAAAACATGACACACACACACACACACACACACACACACACACATCGTGATTGTAACTGACTCAGAAAGCATGCTCAGGAAGATCAGAACAGGTGTCTTCGTGCAGAGTGGCATGCTTCGCTGCGGAGGACAAGGGTGAGGAGTGTTGTCTGGATTTTTTCACCGGTGCACGCCGGTGTGTTGGGAATGAACAGGCGACAGACTGGCTGGCTCTGCACAACTTGGTGGAATTCTGATACATGATAAGGCAGACGTGGTTAGTGCCTTGTGGGAGAGCGTGTACAGTTCGGATGAGCAGATGGATCACCACAGTCTGGTGAGACTGATGCAGGGGGAAGTGACGAGAGGTTCTGGCAGATGCTCGGGGCTCAGGAGAAGGGCAAGACGAACGTTTAATCAGAATGTTACTGGAACTATTAGTATCGGAACTCTTCGCTGGCTGCTGAAGATGGGGACGGAGCGCTTATGGGAATGACCCTAGTGCTGTGATGTCGGTTCTTGAATCCAATCCAATCCAATCCAGCCTTGGCTAATATTTTTGCTTTGATATGTTGTATTTGGGACTGTCTTGGAGGACATTATCTGTACCATTATTTTATTTTTTAGACTCTTTTTTTTTTTTGATTTTAGGTCAGCCTAAAGTAATGTTTAGTGCAACCGAGCGTATCTGATCAAACTTCATGTAGTTTTATAATCAAGTTGGAAGCCTATAGAGCCAGCTGTGCACACATTGCGTGATTGTGACAGACACACACAGTATGTGAAGAAGTGTGGAGACAGGCATGTTGCTTGCAAAGTGGGAAGCACCACTTCATAAATCCCGGGTAGTTGGCGTTTATTGGATATTTTCTCCAGGGTATGCATGTGTGTTGGAAATTAAGAGTTAGGCAGACTGGCTGGTTCTGCACGAAGGGGTGCATGACAAGCCCAATGTGCTCAATGTCCTTTGGTAGCACCTGAGCAATGCACAGACACGAATCGATTAGTATGACCCGGAGAGACTGGGGCACTAGGGAGTGACCAGGGGATCTGGTCGACACTCTACACTCAGAGAAAGGCTAAATGAATACATAATCGAACTGCTACTGGCACCATCGAAACTGTAACTCTTAGAAGCTGGCTGCTGAAGATGAGGTGGAAGCAGTTTATGGAATGATCCGAGTGCTGTAATGTCAGTTCTTATCCCAAACATCGACAGTGGTGTTTATTGCAGCCCTGCTGCCAACAGGCACAAACAATGTATGTCCAGAACAACAATAACAACTTGGGACGGAGGAAGAAGAAGAATAATAATAATAATAATAATAATAATAATAATAATAATAATAATAATAATAATAATAATAATAATAATAATAATAATAATAATAATAATAATAAGAAGAAGAAGAAGAAGAAGAAGAAAAAGAAGAAGAAGAAGAAGAAAAAGAAGAAGAAGAAGAAGAAGTAGAAGAAGAAGAAGAAGAAGAAGAAGAAGAAGAAGAAGAAGAAGAAGAAGAAGAAGAAGAAGAAGAAGAAGAAGAAGAAGAAGAAGAAGAAGAAGAAGAAGAAGAAGAAGAAGAAGAAGAAGAAGAAGAAGAAG